TGGCGTGGAAAAGAATGAAAATAAATTTTTGAATGTACACGTTAATGAAGCATGGTGTCTATCATGCGACCCTGACATAACAACAAGGATGGACAAGTGAAAATAAGGAAGTCGATGATTGTATTTCAACTTAAAAACTAAGACTCACAGTAATATAATAGAATGGATTCCTTCTAATAGATTAGTTAATGTCCAAATGATTCGTAAAGGGGGATCTGATTCTCTATTTTCTGCAATGTGGTTAGATGGTTTCAGACCAAATGCAATCACGTACACATCATGTGTAGTTGCACTTAAAGCTTTACCTGGCAAAAAAAAAAAAAAAAAAAAAAAAAAAAAAAAAAAAAAAAAGAGATGATTCGGATTTAGATGGTATTTACGGCGTTTTACCTTATGTGGCACCAAAAGTGCTATGTGGAAAACTATACAAAATGGCTGCTGACATTTATAGTTTTGGTATTATAATGGCTGAGATGTCTACGGAAAGACCTCCTCATTATGATGTTGAGTATGATGAAACGTTAGCTATTAAAATAAATAATGGATTGCGCTCGAAGACACTCCTGAGGGCTATATTCAATTGGCGAATCAATGTATGGATGCTATTCCTTTTAATGAACTGACTGTGGATGGCATCTGTAAAGAACTACCAGGATGGTACAAGGAGAAACAGAAATGTCGAATCAGTCAAAAGCAATCCCTTTTACAACATTCCATACAACCGATCACCATTTAGGCAGAAACTCAAGTTGGGAAGCAAGAATGAAGTTTGGACAAAAGTTCATAAAGGATTATCTACAGAATACCATATGATGAAAGATTAGGAGATACGTTATACTTAAATTCGTAATTCGATGAAAATGGATAAGAAATTATTTACGAGTTAAAGAAATATAATAGACTACATACAAGAATCGTCGTTTTGTGAATTATTTGGAAACATCAAAAAGTTAATCGTCATTAAGAAAATTTCTGAGAGGATTTTACATTACGGATCCGATTATAAAGATATGATCCTGGAAGAATCATATAAAACAGGGGAGTAATATATAAAGGTCATAGTTTAATTTTTTTTCTCTTTAAAGGTCATAGTTTAATTTTTTCTCTTTAAACATTATTATTAACATTTACTTTAACAGAAAAATATATTATTAAAAGCTTTTTAATATTGCTAAACAAAGCAATATCATGTTACTAACCAATACTATTATCTATACTAATTCTGTTGTATTACTAATTTACATATAATAACATGAGTATACACCCAACGTCAAGGAATTACAAGAACAACCGAAGTATCCAGACAAGGCGTAGTAATCAGAAAACTTTATTTTCTTTAAGAAACCGAATCCAAGTCGGAAGAAAGTGTTCAGACTATTACGACACGCTAAGTTCCTGCTCAGTCAGTAACGATATAACAAACATGGATCCATTTATCATGGATACAAGTTTATCCACTACATTTACATAAGGTACTAAGCCAATACTACTGTTACAAGTCATAACTTCAATTCTCAAACGAAGAGAATAGTTCATCATGCCATCAACAATCGAGCCTTCGAATCTAAGATTTTTGGTTTGGAAAACAAAAATGATGAAATCGTGAATAGCATAAGATTTCATTATATCAACAAGTTCTGACATTAAGTAAAGCTATCTATCTCAATCATTGATGAAATAGAAGGACAAAATATAATCAGTTACGATTAAGAATTTAGGAAGTTAAGTTATGAGTACGAAAGATATTATAATCTAAATATATTATTATTATTTAAGTTATATTTAAGAGATTATTCTACTAATTTTATTACGAGTAATTATTTATTTTTATGCAAGATTTTATATTATTTACAAAGAAAGCTAAGAGAATTTATTTATTTATTTAATAATATATATAATGAGATTAAAACTAATATAATGAAACTAACAGAAATCTTCTTCATCTAAAAGTTTCTCAAGAGCTTCATAATAAGCCCTTGCCTCAATTTGGCTATAATCTGTTTCTTCTCTTTCGAACCAAGGGATCTCAGATCTACTACTTCCTTCTACTTCTTCAATATTTATTTGGACTTCATCTTTTATATCTTCTAACTTTACTTGTAATTCTTGTTTCTCTTTAGTAATTTTATTTTTAATTCATTAGTTGAACTTTCTAGTCTCCTATTTGTTAAGTTTCATTTTTCTCGTTCTTTTTGAAGTTTTTCTTCTGCTTTCTT